TTAACCTAAACACAGCACTGATATGTTTGTAATTTTGGTTCCGTAAACATTATTAACATTTTATTCTGTGATATTGTTAACAATTTTGTATACGCATATACATAATAGCTTAATAAATACTAGTATACTTGCGGGAATACCAATGTCTTAAATATACATATTGCAGCGAAATATGTATATTTAAGACATTGGTAAAATAAAAAATCAGATATTTGAAAGGTTATTTTGAAAAATCTTTGTTTACGATTATATTTTACTTTTACATTTCACATTATATGTTTATTTATAGGTTGTTACTTAAGATATTTCTATATATATGTACGATACATATGTATAATACACAAAGGTATATTTTGTGTCGTGTAGGTCCTAGCATAGAATAGGCTACTCCTTCCTTTCTCGTGAGTGTCGTAAGAGGTGACTATAAGCTTATGGTCGAAAGATGAAAAGCAGCGTCCCTCTTAACATCACCAAAAACCAAATTGCGGTTGCCATTCCGCCTTCCAAACGTGGCAACTACTGGTAAAACCTCCCTTATGGAGGAGGCTATGTTCAGCAGTGGTCAGTTAACGGTTGATACAAACAAACAATATTTCGTGAATTATATTTTGGTTCCTTTCCAAGAATTCAAGTCAATAAATAAAAAAAAAATTGGTTTTATACGTATATCCACTAGAAGGGCGTACCGATTAAACTTGTCTACTTACTCGTATATAGGTACCGAACTAGTTCTGCGTTACAAGAAAAAACAAGTGACCGTGAAATCATCAAATCCGAACCGCCGCCATTTGGGCGCACTTCGGTGAAATATCGTCCCTTTTTACAGAATCATTAACTTTGTGACCACTAGCAAATTGTTCAACATATATATTCTATTAACCATAAACCAAACTGATCAAATATGAACATGAGAAAGAAATAAGCGCTACGGCGAGAGGTAAAGGACCGGGAGAGGAACATTTTCGAGAATGAAAGTGAACGTAATAAAAAACGCATTACATGCGTTACATTTCATTCTATTGTTTCCATTTATTTTAGTCTATTTGGTACTTTATCTATAAGTAGTATACTCTGTATACTCAGTATACTCTGTTATGTCCATGGTACTGCTTGTAGCTATAGGCGACGGTTACCATTTTCCATCAGGTGGGCCGTCAGCTTGTTTGCCATCCTAAGTTGCATAAAAAAAGTATAAAAAAGTAGGCATTTTTGAAATATATTAAACAGAAATATAATATAATTACTAAGATAGATGTCGTGTTAATTGTTAGTCATTAATACATAGTTAATAAGATTTATTTTATTTGCCATTATATTACAACCGTTATCACCTAATACTCGCATAAGGTCAATGACATAATCCCTATTTAATAATTATTTTAGGGCTTAATTTACACAGAGTCTGATAGTAGTTTATTTTCGATAGTAAATTATACAGAACACTGTTAGCAATATACGATCAGTAAGTAGCACGGACTAAAATTATCAAAAATTCCTTTTAAAGCTATTTATGTTACGTGATTATTGTACATGAGTATAATCAAATCGATTTTATGTAGAACGTAATAAACTAACACGGGTAACCTGAACAATGAAGTAGGAAAATCTGAAGTAAATTAAGCTAACTAACGTTTTAAATTCGCCAAATTCTATTTCACTATTTACTTATTACATACTTAAATTTCAGGTAGCGTGCAAAACTTGTTCGTTAACAAAATGTCTTCAAGATTTTCAACAAATTTTTTTATTAGACAGGACAATCACCGAATGAAATAGAATTCTAACTTCAAGGTATATTTGCTGTCTTGTATATTGACATTAATGGTACTTGTATATTCATGTAGAATTATAAAAAAAATCTGCCATCAAGCAATGGCATATTCATATCCAATGTCTTCGTCAGAATTTTAAATGTCTACTATCGAAATAAACATGATATCTATTTAGACCACCTGTTACATATACAGATTGTAATGCTTATGAATATAAATTATAATTATCGATTAACTAATGACATAGAGAAATAATCGATATATTCATCCAAATTATAGATTTTAATATCTGACCTATATTTTGTATACAAATAAAAAAATAGATCTTTATATACTATTGGAAACGTTGAAGAACTTAAGGTTTATCCGATAGGAAACGATAGCCTTAACCTATCAAAAACAATATCATAAACAACATAAAAATAAACTATGGCAAACATCAGTATTCATATATTGCCATAAACTTGAATGTCTAAACTTTATGGGCGACGTAGTGACCATTATGCTCTAATGATAATTCAACTGGCAATTATTCCATAATATTTAATTATGTATAAATCTAAATAAAAGTAAAATGCGATGGTAAGCGAATCATTTGAGTACGGCTAAACTGATTTGGCTAATTTCTTTTTTAAATGTTTATGATAATCCGATTAAGATTATATGGGATAAGAAAAAATGGAATTTGAATTTAACGTTTATATTGAGTCAGTTAATAGAAAATAAAAACATTAAAAGTAATACCAAATTAACACCATTTAAAATTTTCAAGAGCCGTCAGATTCAAGGGACAAGACTTTTAAATAGGTCAGAAATTCTTAAAATTTGATAATTGATTTCTACTTTAGTTCTTGATTTATAGTGGCATCTCTTTGATTTCAAATTTTATTTTCTAACTGATGCCATAATATGTAAATGAATAATACTCTTCTTAAATTCAGTAAAAACATAAAAGCACAACACAAAGTATGTACAACATTTCATAGAAGACGCTTTTAGTGCAAAAAGCAATTCGTGGGTCTGTAGCTTCGAATAAATTGGATTATCGGCTGCCAATGACTTGATAGGCCGGACATCGCTCTATTACGGAACTCTATTTATCCTTACTGTAGTGGAAATAGGTAGTGATAGTAACACATTCAAATAAGACATATGTACGAATGGATTTTACAAAAATACATATAAATATTAACATCATCTTTTGTCAATAAATCATCTTATGCTATTAATGCGAAATAATTTAACGAGGATCATGACATTTGTTTCTTGTCTAACAGTACAAATTTAGTAGCTGAATGAAACCATCAATGATCTTTAATAATACCCTTTGTAGATACTTGGTAACAAATTGGCCGTAATTTTAACTACGGCTCATATTTTATTTCCTTTGAATTTCATTGCGGAATAGAGAAGAAAATAATTCAGGTTTAATTCTGTTAATCGTGGTCATTAAATGCTGGTATCACGGACTGGATGTCGCTACCTCTAACGACCTTTTACGAAGGCATTTACCTAACGAATGACCTAGGCAAGCGTACCGCCCCGTATTTTACCTTCTGCATCACTCTGTGCTACTATCATGACCGAAATATACTATGTTGAATTTCGTATAACTTTCCTGAGATGTTTTACTACGTTTCAACTTTCTTTAAATCTTTTTTTTAAAACCATACGATGTGTTAGGAAACCTGCGCTATTCTGAAATCGAGTCACTTAAGCGAAAATAAAATAAAAATATAAACGAAAATATAAAAATGTATATGTTAAAAACAAATTGAAATATAAAGATGTATAATGAAAGTATTTTATTATTATTTCAGTCATTAACTGTCCACTGCTGAACATAAGGATTGTTTTGCCAGTAGTTGCCACGCTTAGCAGGCGGGTTGATAACCGAAGTTAGACTTTTAGAGATGTTTTAAGAGGGACGCTGCTGCCCATCCCCCGTTTTCTCTTAGTCGCCCCTTACGACACCCACAGAAAAGGAATGCCGGGGCCCACACGACGATGTATGAAAGCATTATGTTCCATTAAATTATACAAAATGTGGCTTATTATGATTTTATGTGATAAATGAAAATTATTTTCATTATTATTTTCGCATGACAAAACGAAAGAGAACTTATAGAGTATTATATTTATTTTTATTTAATGAAAAATACGTTTATATAATAAATACACGAAGGTGCAAAAAATATAATTAAATCTAAGAAGGCTTGGCATACGATTGACAAGATCCTTTCTATTTACTCTCCTAACATTATAGACATAAAAGTTTGTATGTTTCTCTTTCACGCTTAAAGCACAACTTAAACAACTGAATAGTTTTGTTATTTAAAAAAAAAATTAAATTACGTATTCTGAGATAATCTATTTCCTACATCAAGTGAGAGAAGTTGCTAAATACTTACTATCAAACTTATAATATTAGTTGCATAACATTTTTAACGGAATATTTTTATACTTTTTTATGCAGACAAAGTGGCATAAATACAGCTAATAATTAAATATTTTTTGTTGTCGTTGCGTCGTTCGCCATCACGACGTATTTTGTAATAGCCACAGTACTGTAGAAATATCAGCGTGTTTGCCTCCAGAATAAAAAAAAAATTGATAAAATTAGTCGGACCAGTGCGGAATATAGTTATTAGTTATACAATATCTATTCCAGTTGAATTTACGATTGGTAAAGATATAGTAACTACGAATTTGAAAAAATACAGTTGATTTGAAAATATCTTCCAAATTGATATCAATTACAAGTTTCAAAAGATCTTATTATTTAGTATAAAACCGTGGTAACATTGTTACCATTGATGTTAAGATCCAAACTTCTAAGTTCTGTAGTTAATGAATAATGACCTACCTTTATAACTTTATGTCAAATATACAGTAAGTCTCGAACAATAGATTGAATTCTATTATAAAACCAATTCATATTTTAAGTTTTAATCAGATTGAAATTGCTATAATTTCGGTTACGATTATTTTATACCAAACAAAGGTCTGCGCCAAACTCATCTAATCTATGTATAAAATGCGACTTATAAATAAACTTCTTAAGAAAGTTACGTCAATGTAAAATATACATTAAGGTACAACCTACATACAGAATAAAACAATATTTCAATGTCGTAACTTTTTTAAAAGTTTTCATTATATAAATAACAATATCTATTATTTTATTTTTATTATCATCTGTAAGTGCACACTATAATTCTGTACAGAGTTTACTATAAATATGAAACAACACGAATTTAAAAACAATTTTTTAAAATACTAATTACTAATAAAATAATACACAAAATGAAACATTTGAATGTCGCGTTGTGATAATTCTTCGCACCGAGAACCACTTAAAGAATTAAGTATTGTGTGAATAACACACTAAGTACCAAGGCAGACTGAAGCCTAACGATATAAGTGATTATCCCTGATATTACTTGCTATCTCGGGTTCCCAGCGATCGCCGTTCGAGAGTAATTTTTCTTTATTATACAAAAGCTCCTCGTGCGTTTCTGTTGAGTATTCAAAATTTGGCCCCTCAACAATTGCATCTACAGGGCACGCCTGTTGGCAGAAACCACAAAAGATGCATTTAGTCATATCGATATCATAACGCACCGCTCTACGGGAACCATCCTGCCTCTGCTCGGCATCAATTGTGATTGCTTGAGCTGGACATATTGCCTCACATAATTTGCAGGCAATACACCGTTCTTCCCCAGACGGATATCTTCGTAACGCATGTTCACCTTTGAAACGTGGTGACAATGGTCCCTTTTCGAATGGATAGTTTATAGTCGCAGGTTCCTTGAAAACATGTGCCAACGTAACCGCAAATCCTGTAATTTGTATAGAAGTTTCGATGTATAGAAATAGTTATACAACATAAAAAAAACTTTTTAATTCTTGTATATTTTATTTGTGTGTATGTTTTACACAATTACAATTGAGTGACTGGTTTAATAGTTAAGGTGTCAAGAAGTAAAAAACAAACACTTTCACATTTATAATATTAGCAAGGATAAAAGCTCCTTAATAGATAAAATGTATAGATACCTATCTATATATTACTCCTATTTTATATTCCTTGTAGAAATATGTATTTATATCTCTTTATACAAAAAAAACTGTGATGTCATATGTAAAATATAAATATTATTTATTTAAACAGCAAATATATTTAAATACATAATATTAGTTTAGAAACTATTTAAAATTGTTATTATATTTTATATACGTAATACGTACAATATAACTACAAACATTGAATATAAGTAAATGTCATAATAAAAATAAAAAAAGGAAAATGAGCTGGAGACAACTTTGAATATTCTGAAAACTCAAATATTACTAATGACCTCATTAGTTAGATGTGAGTTCACAAAACCTATACATTTAATAAAAAATCATATAACAGTTTTGATTGCTCCCTTATCTATAACATAACGACAAGTAAATAAGACCGTTTGATCTATAGATCTAAAAAATCTATACAAAGTATAGATTTCTACGTAGAGACATCTATAGTACCCAATTTGGGTTTCAGTACAACTACAGTAAAATCAGCCAATAAAATATACATTAGGCAAATTTAGTATAAATACTAACGAATTTCGAGTATTACTTAGTATTATCTATTATTACTTAACTTAAAATTGTATAATTTTGCTGAATTCAAAAACTTTCTGCTATTTTTTTTAAATATCAAGAATATTATAAAAGTTCATATAAACCACATAATATCATATAAAATATAAAGTTATTTTTATTTTTTAAATGACACCTTCCCACAAAGGGAGGATGATCGGTTATTATTATCCTTAAGGATATCTCTTTATAAATGTAAAATGTATTAACGTAATAAAGATATTTGATATAACAATTACAAAATTTTTTATGAACTTTCTGTATGAAATTAGTCACTTACAATCGGATAGTTTTATTTTTTAAGATTTTTCTAAAAGACTACTCTGTAACTTGTATTTGATTAAAATACTGAGATGAAGTTACCTCGTATTAATTCCGTCCAAAAAAAAATTTGCGATGCTCGATCGAAAAAATCTCTGACAGTAGTACTTGGTGGCTTGTCATTCACACAGATAAAGTTTACATCATATTTTGTCCTGGGACAGCAGTAAAATGGTGGATATTGTGGCCTTGGGCAAGAAGAACATGGAGGAGAAGGAGTATAAGCAGGATATGGAGGACACGGGATATTTTTCGGTGCACAAGGATCACAACAATCACCTTTACAGCCACGAATAAAATAGTTCACAAGTTTATTTCTACTCCAGATAATATGTTCTTTATTTGTATTTCTCAAAATCATGGAAAACATCTTTATTTATTTTTGCACAATATGAATCAACATTTGTCTGCTGTTAGTATGTCAATATGAAAATAAAAAAAAGATTCAATATAAAAAAGGTTAATAAGAAAAAGTTATTTAAAAATATTAATAACAATAACAAACCTGAACCCTGATCGGTTTTGTCATGGTCGTCTCGTCTCCAAACAGCGTTCCAATTCAATTTCCTTTCTAGACGTGAATATTTGATGTACCAACCATCTGAAAATAGTATTTTGTGATAAAATGGGTCATGTTCAATTTGTTGTAGACTTCAAGGGTCAATGTCGGAACAAATTTATCTTTTTTCTATTTCAAACACAGATTTGGATCTGAGATTCTGTTTTTATACTATGAGTCACAACATGAAGAGAAAGTACACTTTATCTTAAGTTAAGCTATTTTCTTTACCTGAGATAAAATATTAAACGCACTGTATATTTTCATATTATCTTTAATAAGGAATTGTCGACTCATGATGTACATGATTAAATAGTACATTACTGCAGCGGCCAGCAACTGAGGCATTGATGGACGAACGGGCAAATCTGGACCGAGGCGAAGCCGAGGCACACATACGTGAGTCAATCGATGCCTAGTTGTGGCCAAGGCGTGTATAGTACTTTTCTCAAACAATGCGCGGCAATCAAAAACACAATTTTACTTTTTAAGTTCAATGACGAATAATGAACAATAATAATATTTCACGCGCCATTTTGTTCGTTTATTTTTTTTTCAATAAACAGCTTTCTATATGCAAGCCAGACCGAAATTTAAATAATACCTTTTATTAGTTACCTCCTTGGCAGCCATGTTTCGAAGTAAAAGTCATTCCATTTTTAAATTACAGGATAGATATGAGTTTACATAGTAATTTATCTGGCCGCAAAACACGATAGATATGGATTTTCATACAACTTTTGCCGGCCGCTGCCCGCATGTATCTGGCCAGTACGGTAATTTTGATTTATCTCTAAGAAGATTGTCAAAATAATGCTCACATTTCCAAGCATGTTTGAGAAAAATATTTTAATTCATACATTAAGGATACTTGCCACATTGAGTCTAAGTGTAATTCGCACTTGCTCAGATAAAAAAAAAATTATTATATTACCGATTAATTCATAAACTTGAAAAAATTAATATTTATTTACACCAATTAATATTAATATTTAAAATTTCATTTGTAAAAATTAAGTAAATGTAGTTATTAGATTACGAATCGCTTTGACACCTACAAAATAATACAGCTATATCAACAGAAGTTCGGTCACGTGCTCTCTGTCGTCGTTAGCTGGTCGTTATGCTAATAGCCTTAGAGTAACGCGTCATATTACATACCCGAACCACGTACGAATTGATTCAGAAATTAACACTTTCTTGTAAGAATAGCTAAGTAATATCCAAATGCATTACATATACACTGCATTTTTATGAAAATACTCATCATAAAACATATTTACTACTTCTAGAAAACATAAGAGCGAGCGAGAGGGGCATCTAGATTTTTCACTAAAATTTCAAATTTCTATTCCCAAAATATACACATCTAAATTACCCATATATCAAACTCTCCTGGAGACATACTTGTATGTTCCTAACGTAATTTTAAATTTGGATATTAGTCAACATAATAAATTTCTGCTGTTCATTTTAAACACATTACCAGTCTACTAAATTTAAAAAATATTCTACTATTATACCCTAATAATTACGCTCAAAAACATTATTGTCAATCGTACAACCAGGCCCTTGTAGGAAACTACTTTAAAACCAAATCGTGCAATCCATTAACTTTAATCTATATCCGGGATATAGAGCTAACTTTAGCGTGGATTCCCGACCAACGAGTATAAGCTGACCAATTGACTGTATATATAAGAACTAAAGGATAAGGATAGGAATCCACTATGGCTGATTATAAATTCAATAGATTATGAAAAAAAAAACATGTTCTACATATATCGCAATTTTTATAATGCGTTTTGGGATTTTAAGTTCCATGTGTTTCCTAATAAAATAAGCTTAAGACTCTTCTCTATGTAACTGCGGATTGTTAAGGGGGGTCACCTTTTCTTTTCATATAAATTACTCCACTTTCATCAATTGTCTAATCCAATATTTTTTCACCATGTCAATGTTTTTTTGTATTGCATTTTATGCATCGTTGTTCTTTAAGTAGGTAAGTTTATACCAAATTGTTATATTAAACAAAAGCAAATCATGACCTATTTATCATAAACCACAAGTAATACCTTCTATCTAGTATTGCTCGCAATATAGATTAAAGGATTTTTGTTAAGCACTTCAGTCGCGAAGTCCAATAAATTATAAGGAAGATTTAAATCGCCGATCTTACAGGTGGTTTCAAAGTCTTTACAATAAAATCGGCGATTGTCTTTATCTAAACCTTCTTTACCAATTACGATTAAGTATACCTACTTTTTATAATATACAATTTCTAATAATAAATAAACTGAATCATTTAATGAAAAATGATAAGCGTCTAATTTAGTTGATACTGTCCAGGAACTAGCTCGTTATTGAAAATTTTAGATCAATATACTGAAATGTTATTCTGGGACTAACTCGGCCAAGACGTGTTCTACGAGATAGTCGAGCTTAGTTGATTCTTGCGATTTTCTCGACTCTGGGTAGAGAATTGTGTTCAGCGCCACCCAAAAGTACTTCAAGTAAACTTGTTTCGTTTTATGTGGCGTCCTCGATTCCACAAATAAATATTGGTATGTCCACTGTCTTTTATAAAAAAGAACAATAGCTATTCCAAAAGCGGTTTTAAGCACCCAATATAATTAGTAATAAATAAACTTTATCATCATCATTAAAACTATATCTACTATCTGAATTGTATCTTATATATTTTTAATATTCAATAATATAAATTAGATTCACCTTCCAAGTTGAATGATCAGTTTCAATTATTAGTTTTCTACTGTAAATAAAAAGATTGAACTTTTCACAACCTAATAAAATAGTAAAAATTTCTTCTTCATTTGAGCGTAATTATTTTGACACTCATTCAATGCTTTAAGTACATACGCAACAGGGAGATTATTTTGTAATAAAATATTTTGATGAATTAACAGACAAAACCATAACTCTTTATTATAAACTTTTTTTTTTAATTAATAAAATTTATAAAACTTATACTTATTAAAAATATTTACATGACTCTCTGTTTAATTAAAGTCAACGTCTATTTTTAAAAGATTAGGAAATCTTTTTATTGAAATTAACATTTTCTATTACAAGATTAAGAACAAATTTTGAAATTTATTTATTTATTTTCTCCACTAATTTTACAGAAAAATATACTTATATGAAAAAAGTAGTTAAAAAATCCTAAAACCGTTCCAAATTCTTACAGTTTTTAGGACTTTTCTTCTAATTATATTCTATGTTTTACAAGTTGTATTCCTTTTTTACTTATAATATGGCCTAAGCACTTCACTTCTGTTACACCAATTTAACATGTTGTTTCATTCATTTTCACATTAAATTCATATTGACTTAGGGTTAAGATAAAATTTCAACTCTTTTTAATCTTTCTAAGGTCTGTTTTACATAATGTTAATAAATTTATAGAGTACTACAAATGCCAAAAGGGCATTTTTTTAAATTTATGCCAAGCAAAAGGACCATTAAAAAGAACAAAGATCAGAATTAGCTGATGTTAATTTGATATCACAAAATCCGTTTAATAAATGTAGTGTACTAAGCACAGTGACCCTTAGTAATAATAATTCCTATTGTTGTTATAAAATTTGTCTAAACTGGACAGCCAAGTAGTATACAGGCCGATACAGACTACTCATAACTAACTATTAGTTTGAGATTTTGACGCATTTTCTTTATTATTATTTATTCTATATGGCGCTAAATGCCCCCTGAAGAAGAATTCCGGATGAAGTTGAAACAATTATCTAAAATGATAAAAATACAGTAAGTTCATGAATTCCCTGTTACTTATGTATATAGACATCAAATTAATACACAACTAACATAATAAATTGAATTAAGTAATCGATAATAAAATTATTTATTATTCTAAAATATTCACTGACCCAACATAGTTCTGTGGCCTCAATTTATTAATTGCGAGACTAACTTTGAAAGCTGTAATTTTTTTAAATATACAGGAGATAAATTACACTGGATTATTTTAATCTTTATAATTTACTTTAAATTTTTTACCATCATCAACTTTATCATTACAAGCCATCTATCGTTCACTGCTGAACATAGCCTTCTCTCACATTTCGTCGCAAAGTACTCTTTCAAGACACCTGCTTCCATCGACTCCCTAGAACACAAATTGTTTTAAGTGTTATTATTAGACATCAAAATGTATAATGTACAATATTTGGTTACCATTAGTAGTAAATTGCATAAATTACAATTTTATAAAATCGTACAACATTGTGAAGTAGATTGCAGACAAATTTCTTTGTGTAATATTACAAACTCGAGGTTATGTAAGTACTTTAATTTATATAAAAACAAAGCGTACCATATTACTTGCTTGATGATTAGAACCTTGTTTATTGATAGTAAATCTCTACTAATACCAAAGATTGTAATAATTCTTTCTACGACGCTCGCCGTTTTTATTAATCCTTTAAATTTTTGACTCTGAATCTTCTGGTTAGGCTTTAGTAAACCTATTTTAATATCTAAATTTACATGACGATGCAACTCAATATTGTGTGGCTGAAATATGAATGCATTGTTTTATTTTCTATATTATCCACTAATTGTGTATCGCCCTAAACTGTTTACTTTTTCTGACATCTAGATTGATGTAGATGGAAAACTGTTACTTCATTTCGAACTTCGACTTGAATTTCTCTCCCAAATTGCAAAGAACTTTATCTAGCAGTTTAGCCGTAGAAATACAACAACCAAACAGATAGCCAAGCTACAGATAGAGGCTCACTTAGAAATAAATTGTTGTAAAGGATGAATTTTAATGTATTGCATAGTACATATATAATGTACTATGCAATACATTAAGATTCATTTTCGTAACGTAGATAGCGTAAGCAGGCAATTACTTATTATTGTCTTGGAAGAATCCGGATCTCAGGATAATAAGTGAAAATTCCTTGCATATTCGTTCCACCTGAATGGAACCCGACCCGTATCTAATGTAAATCTGAATAATTTTTTTAAAAGACCTACATTCCCTGCCTTTATATTATTATATGGGTACTTACAAACTACAGAGTTATTTTTAAAAGTTTAGTAAATAGTTCTTTTCTTTAATTTTATCTCCTTTTTTCTTTTTTGGCTAACTTTTTTGTTTTATCGATATTAATGTATTATTTTCTAAAATAAATAAAACTACTTTTATGTATAACATTCACAGTCACAATAAGGAAAATCAATAAAATTACAAAATTAAGGGCATATGGAGGTACCACTTATTTAAAATGAATTGATATAACTTAAAACACATCTAAAATTAAAAAATCTAGTAAATCGCACTTTTTATTTATTATTTATTAATATAGATACCTGCGTATTACATGTTTTTATAACGATGAGACGCAAATTAATAATAATCACAGAAAAAGAAGCCCTATAATAAATTTGGATACCCCGCATCTCGAAGTTACCAGTCCCTACAAAACACAAAGACATTATCATATCTTCTGATCAATAAAACTGAATTCGGATAATTTATCTCTCATTATGGATTCTTTTGTTATTTCTTTTGAGGTTTCACCCTCTGTTGATTCTGAATTGGCAAATAGAACTATTAAATGAATCATGTTGTAATTATTATTATTAACTCTTAATCAGTAATTATTATTAACTTTGGGATAGACAAAATACAAAACAACCCAATAATTTTAGCCAATGTGATTTATTAATTTTAAGACAATAAATAATAAAGTGTATGGAATTAAAAATAACAAAATAAGATTAGTTTTATACAAACTATATGCATACGTAGTTTGTTTTATCTTAAAGTCACAAGCATGTTCTTATGAATTGTTAAATAATAACAAACGTCACTTACATTATTTAATATTAGCCACTGTTTTTCTAGCTAGGTATTGATAAATAAAACAGATATGTTATTTTATCACAATTATTTTAATTAAATTTAAAAACATGTAGGAAAAACCTAATAGTGACGAATTATTCCATGATTTTATTAGAAATTAAAAATAAATCTTAAATATAAAAAAAATATAGGTTATTAGTTGAAATATACTCTATTATAATTCAGTAAGCCGTATTTATATTGTATTACTAACTGTTTGCCTGTTACTTCGTACAAGTGAATTTCACAAGTAGTGAAACTTATGAAACAGACCATTTCTAGATAGCATATCAAGATAAATCGAATTATCAGATTTTAAGTTACACCTTCGAGAACACAATTATTAAAACTGCATTCAATTTGGTCCAGTAATTTGTGCGTAATGCCAGAACAAATATACAGACCGACAGACAAAATGTCTAAAAAATATTGTTTTGGTTTCAATAGCTCTTATTTAGATCCTCATATCCATTTTGCTTGCATATCTCCCATGTGCAGACACCGTCCAGTTTATGACATTTTTTATTCAATTTAATACAGTACCTTATAAAAAGAAAGTATAAACCTTACCATTGACGACATTATAGACTATATATTAAGGATAGTACGGATACCTTCTACGTTATAGGATCTTAAAGAAATGAATAATTAAGTATGAATGTACTTATGTGTGATTGTAAACATAAGAATAAAAAATATATACTTATTATAAAAAAGTAAATATCTATGTACGATAAAGGAAGCCCTAATAAAATATGTAGTGACAAATATTGATAGAATTGTATTTTAAGTTTTATATTTACTGAAAATAATTATAATCGATAGACAACATAATCTCTATCTTGACCCAATTTAGAATTTGATAGGTTTAAACACAAAGTTAATAGCGAAGAGTATTTGTTTTAATTACAGATGATAAAAATGTCTCCAGGACGACTTTATTTTTTAATTCCTTTTTTTTTCCTAATAACAAGAAAATATATTTGTATTATTATTACACCTATATATATATATATATATATATATATATATATATATATATATATATATATATATATATATATATATATATATATATATATATATATATATATATATATATATATATATATATATATATATATATATATTACTCCATGTAATGAGAATAATATAGTGATTTTATGATTTATAAAATTATAAAATACAAATCGGTAATGTTACTCGTCTTAGTTTATTTATACATTACGTTACACTTATATGGACATTTTAAGATTGTACTGCACCTGCTAAACAGCGAATCCAAAACATATTAGCTTTTAACAGTTCTTTTGTTTGTTTTATTGTTTTCTGGTACAAAATAAATCCAAAATTAAATAATTGTAATTCAAAGACAAACACGCATCATATTGGCCTGCTCATTAATTTTTATTCAACTAACCGTTGCTTCTCGGCATGAACCTATTAATGTACTTACGCTTCTTTTAAGAATTTCGGGGCATATATTCTTACTGTTTATTTATTTTTTAAATTCTACAGATGCATGTTTCGAAAACAATTAATACTATTGTCTGTCTGTAGGTACTATTGTCTGTCTGTAGGTACTATTGTCTGTTGGTGTTAAAATTTTAATCTAGGTTATAGTTTACATATTCAAAACTGCATTATCAGAAAGTTACATACACTTGTTTTTTTTACGAAAATATTATACTTAAAAAACTTACAAATCAGTAAATTTCCATAGATTATTTTGTTAGAATGATTAAACTTATATAGGTTTATTTATAATAAGATAGATTGGTATCCACCACAACGATTTTTTATTAAAACTGTCGCAAAACCACACGTGACCTGGCACGCGATATGACGCAATACGACGCAAGCTCTTTGTACTTGTACGTAGGTACACAATTCTGAATTAGACCTTATTTAAGATTTTCTTTGTACCATATTAATACATAAATATTATCTTTATATATGGTATATTTTTTTTTAATTTTTAGCCTAACAGAAACTTATTATTTGAATAGTAATACAATAAAGAAAACACTATTAAAATATGAAAATCATTTTTGTAATATAGTAAGTTTTTGATAATGATTTTCAATAACCATATAATCATATAACATAGGCCATTGAAAAAAAAATGAGCGTGCAGGCTGCAGTATTTTAATATTAAACTTTGGTTTTTAATATTTTCTGTAAAAATCATTCACAATTTATAATTTTCAAGTTTCTTGTTAAAAAAGAAATGTAATAATATAAAGGTGTAATATATTTCATAGCAATTTTAGTACAGATCCATTTAAAGGGGCATTAGTTACAGTGCTATTGTCTTCTAAATACTATAATTTAAATACATTGCACACCAGACACTATAAAGATTTTTGCTATTTCTGTATTTTATATTATAGATGACAAACACTTATTTATTTTTATTAGAAACTTTTTAAATCCACAATTTATATTTACTATATGGTACGATATGGTTCACTACAAATAGAAACAAAACAGTTTTAATAAATATTGAGGAATGATTTATTTTGATATTTAATAACAAGTTCAAACTGTAATTTTTACATTAACCACACGCAGATTTTTGTGTATTTATTGAATAATATTCATTATTTACTTATCTATAGAGATTTTTTGATTATATGTGATGCTTTGATTACATGTAGGTATAACATATTTTAGTTATTATATATCTAACACTGATATTGTATATATATATATATATATATATATATATATATATATATATATATATATCATAATATTTATTTTATGTGCTACTTTTGATTGGTGTTCTGCTTACAGTGCAACTGATAGTATTCAATTGCAAAAAAAACATAATCCCTATTTGCCTATGAATTGTTAATATAAATAAATTTTGTAATATTTACTATATCGTCCTATGTATACTATATTCACTGTATTTTATTATTTTTTTGTTACTATTTTACAATAACAGGTACTCTTCAGAATTACAGATTATGTTATTATGGTCTTAGAAGAAAAGGTTGTTACAAAAAAATTAAAATATATCAGATTATAAACTTGCATTATAAATAAGAATGATTTTCTCCAATATTATATCTACTTAATACTTATATCACTAAGACGTAAACAAAGCTATTGTAATGATAGAAAAAATAATATAAGCAAAATTCGTTAATCGGTTATATTATTATTGAAAGAAATCATATATATTTATAAGAGAACGAAATTAATTATTTTATTGCATGTCTCATTAACCGATATAGAATGAAAAAACGAATTCCCTTATCTTAATGATAGTTGGTACTTCATCTATATTTATTGGGTTATCTACTAAGCTCACGAACTTACAAAATACGTTACTTGTCTTTATATTACTAAATACTGAGATATAAGTGTAATGAACATTAGAATTCTTATAAAAGTTGTATCACTGTCGTCATTGAAATCATACCAATACATTTAGTATACATATTACTATTACCTTAGTCGTTGTAGTATGCTGTAATTTTTTTTTTTTGACAATAGTATCAAGATGAGCACATCTCTCATTTACTGTTTACATTATCTTATCGTCGTCATGACTGAACGACCAAAGGTACCATAACAAATGCTGAATAACGTAGTTGACTAGTCCCAACGTATCGGTCTTTGGATAGTCAAAACTTTTAAATAAAGCTAAAATCGTGTTAAAAGATTATTTTCGCTTATAATCAGTTATAAAAATAATAAATTAAATTGTTTTCAAAATTGTCCAAGAACAGATATATATATACAGGAGAACCTAAGTAATAACATTTATGAAAGAGCACAAAATCATGCTCAACCGCTTAGTTAAGGCTAATATTATAGATGACATTATAACCTCGCCATGTCTGCAAATACAATCCGTATTGAATGAACGTAGATTACTAAAAATAATCGATCTCATTAATGAAATAATTTACAATGTATGGGACACTTATCGCTTGTAAAATTTTTTATTATATACGAGTACAGGTCCAGGTAGTCTTAATATTTTACCAGAGGGAGATTTTTACAGAGTCCTCTACATAAGTTCCTGTGTCTTATTTTGGTTTGATTTTATTTTTTATTATTAGGGAGGCAAACGAGCAGACGGTCCACATGATGGAAAGCGGCTACCGTCGCCCATGGACACCACGATAGGAGTTGCTTGTGTGTTTTCAATCTATTAAATGTTTGTAGGCATGTTGAAACTCCCTTTATTTGACATATATATTAATAATGTATGAGTGATACTTCTAACGTTTCAAGTGTTCACAGGCTGCCGTGGACTCTTTATCAGGCAAACAATAAATAACCTTGATTGACATCCTTGTTACATAAAAAAAGTAAATAAATATAAAAAAATGTATGCTGAAACTATTTATTCACTATACTTATAAAATCAATAAATCGTCCACCAACTCCTATTATTTTATTCTTATCTTACGTATTCAATACTAATCCTACTATCAAATCCTTCTTTGAATTTGGTTTTTTGATATTATTAATACAGTTTTTCTTATAACTATAAATAAAAATATTATATTGTAGTTCTATTAAATAGAAGATATACATTAGGGTAGAATACATAATCCGAATTCATGTAGGTATATATTCTCAAGTATCACTTACTTGTTTGTTGCCGAACATCTAACCAAGGGGCCCTTTACCTCAATGACCGTTTACCTATCGATACTATCAATTACCAATATAATTATTTTCGAATGTCTCTAGCATGATGATGACAACAGAGATATAATTTTGGCATTATCAAACGAACTTTGGCACTTAGCCCTCTAAATTACAAAGTTATTTACAATATTATTAACCTCTAACATCACATTCATTACATTTCTTTACAAGTGATCATAATGAGCAAAATATTGAAGCATTAATCCTTTTTTTTACTTTAATACAATAGATTTGTACCTACTCAGTACTTAGAGATATCATTATAAAAAAATAAAAAAAATATTGATTCGTTAAATTAAAGTACATTTTTACTTAAATAAAGACCCTCAAATAACATTCAATAACAGAACTTTAATGTTCCAATAATTTAATACAAGAAGTTTAACAGTATTCATAATCATGATCGAAAGTCGAAAGGAAAATATTAAGTATTTATATTATCTTATATTACTGTTGCATTATAGTCCCAGGGTTTATAATCAAAGTTGCTTAACTTTTACCATTTTAAGGCAAAAAAAAAAATTTGCCATAATATTTAAAATATAATATTATATATGGTTATACGTAGAGCACGTTGAAAGTTTTACGTAAATTATTATTAATAAAACAAGAAAAATAGAAATTACATTTATTTTTTCGAAGCAGTTTACTTTTTCAATATTATTTTCATTTGATCGAACTATTTTTCAACTACTAGAACCGTTCATCTGGATGTATGTTTTCCAGAGTGAGAATGAAAATTGTCCCCGCCTACTCTGATAAAAAAAAGTAAAACCTTTTATCAATTTTTATTTACGAGTATATTCCCTAAAATCAAATAGCTAAAGTCACTTGAGACTATACTAATGATATCCCGGATGTCAGTTTGCACGAGACTGAAATGACTCTCAAACAGCTTAAAAACGGCAAGGCACCGAGGGAAGACAGAATTACGGTAGAGCTTCTGAGAGCAGGTTTTGACCAATTGTTTTACCCACAAACTCGACGACTTTCAACCACCCGAACAAGCTGACTTTCGAAAGGACTTCACCACTATAGACCATATACATACGCTATGACAGATATTTGTGGACTATGAGAAAGCCTTTGATTCGATCGAAACATGAGTGGTACTACAGTCCCTCTAGCGGTGCCGGTGTAGTGCAGATTGACTATAGGTATATCGAAGTGTTGAAGTGTATGTACAGTAAGTCTACAATATATATCCGAGTACATAATCAGGATATGAAACCCATTCCAGTGCAGAAAGGTGTAAGACAGGGTGACATCACATTCCCGAAACTCTTCATAACTGTATTAGAAAATGTTTTCAATCTTTTGTACTATAAAAGGTATGGAATAAACATTAATAGTGAATATATCAGCCACTTTTGATTTATCGATGATATAAGAAATCATGACGAAATCCCCAATAACCTCAAGACTACTTTTCAACAGGTTGCTTTTAGTACTTTATGCAAAATGTTTACAATATAACTCATCTCAATCCCCAGATAAGGTCTCCAAATTGTCTCTGGTAATATGTCACTTTACGTCATACATACAAACAAGGACAGTCTCGACGAATCTCGTCATTCAAAGAAACCCGCTGGAATTTGGCAAACCATTGCATTATAGTACTTAAAAGTGGTATTTCTTTCTCCATAGCATTTTAAAGCCAAGCGGTAAAAATATTGGGAATAAGATCACTTTTAAAATCCTAGAAAATCTTTGCTCTAATTCCAGTTAATTCTATTTTCACTTCACTCGATGAACTTGAAAGTATGATAAAAAATTGATGTATATTTTTCCTGCATTTTTTTCTAAATAACTAATAAAATATATATTATATTTTAATAAATGAATAATTTTAATTCAAAAGTAATTAGCGAGAAGTGCAAAAGTTTTAGTGAGCCTCATCTAAGTGCCTAATTATCGAGATTTTTTTTATGCAACGTAAAATGGAAAACAACCTGACGGCCCACTTGATGGAAAGAGGTAACTATCACCTATAGACATGAATAGTAAACAGGTAAAATATAATAAGGGTAAATAATCGGCACAATATAATAATGTATAATACTTATGTGTTGCTTAGTATCGTATATATCTTTCCCCAGGCCGTCCTAAGTACCTCTAGTCTATTTAATACTGTATTATGATAATGGAGCCAATTCTGAAATATTAAATACTCTATATTAATCTCTAACATTTGTTAATTATTAGATATGAATATTTGTATAAGAACATGATTTATAAAGTTCAAATTATATCATCTCTCAGATCAATTAATAAAAACACATCCAAGAAATTTTATTTTTATAATCGGTTCCAATGTCTGGTTTCTCTTAACTACTTTTTTTTTTCAATAAAATAATCAATAATAAATTGAACAGCATGCTAAAAGATTATTATTACTACCTAATAATATTATTATTTATCTTATCTTATCATTATAAATATTATAATATAAATACGAAATAAATACTTATAGAATATCATAAAGACCTGTTCCAGGTGAAAATTTGATAACCTTATTTATAAAATTTATAAGTAGAAAAATAATTTTTTGCATTAATTTGAAGATGTTACCTACCTAATATCAATATCAACAATTTTACAATTTTAATAGAAACGTTATCTGTTCATAAATATACTATTCATAGTCTTTGGCTTTATTTTACACTAGATCATCTTCATATTCGTATCATATATCATTCGAATTGAGTACGGGCGGGGGTAAAGGCGGAGGTGGTGGAGGGAAGTAACGTTGTGTGATAGTATCAAGGGCAGGAGCAGAAACATTTGTGAAGGGCGGATCGAGCACCACGCAAACTGAACGTTGCGGCACCGCCTGCAGTGGAGCCGGCCTGCTAGCACGATGTTAGCTGCCTTTAGATACCAAATGATAAGGTGCATGGATGGTAGCTACGCTACCTAATTCAGTTCTTCCGAGAAGCTCCTCTGGATGTTCTACATCATGCTCGCGACGTTTTTCTTCGTTGGTATAATAATGAGCTGCTCGTCGTCTGGTACAACATAAAGCACCAGCGACTGCTGCTAGAACGGCGACACACAGCAACATTAATCCAGCTATTACACTCATCTGGGCCTCATGTGTGCTTGGACATGGATCCAGCCGATCGAATGTCATATCTGCGAAATAAACTCCTCGTAATCTGATTGGAGAGTAACATTTAAGATGCCTTATCGTTCCATTTAATACGCTAGTTGTCATGTAAACAAGCATTGTTCCCGCAGAACACTGATCACATCGCCAAGAATTTTTCGATAAATCTATCTGTGCAATAGCTTCCAACCTTTGCAGATCTTGCTCAGTTAAAATTTGTAATTTATTGTGAGATATATCCAACCGCTGTAAAAATTTCGTCTTTGTCAGCAATTTATAAGGAAAGGTAGTCAATTTATTCCAAGATATGTCTAGAGCTACTAAATGTTCATTGTAGGTAAAAAAATTAGGAGGTATCATCTCCAAAGATAAATTGGCAAGCCCCACTCCGTGAATGTCCGGTAATATCTGAAGAACTATAGCAATTTCATTGAGAGGTAAATTATTGCCACTAAAATTAATGGTCTTTAAGGATTCTACAACAGGAGCAAATGTTTGTAAATGAAACTTGTCAATTTTATTATGACTTAAATCCAAATGCACCAGTGTAGTCAAATTCGTGAGGGCCGCTGGCGCCAATAAGGCGAGACGATTGCGTGCAAGCGACAATACTCGTAACTCACGATTTCGACCAAACATGTTGTCCACTATCACAGATAACTGGTTGCCATCTAGTTTTAATTTTTTTAATTTCTTTAGACTTATAAATTCATCTGATGTTAAGTATTTGAACTGATTCTCTCCTAAATCTAATTCATCCAAATGGGGTACTAAATGGTAGATTTGAGTATTGACCCTCCTGAGAAGACATCTTCTACATTTAAATATTCTTAAATGTTGTATATCTTTAAATACTTCTGGATTCAAATCGGCCAGTGGATTATCACTCAGGTCCAGGTAAAAGAGTTTTGCTAGCATTCGAAATAGTCTAGGAACCAGCGATGTAATTTTATTATTCGATAAAATCAAAATCTTTAATGAAGTAAGATGTCTGAATGTTTCACTAGGCATCTGCTCAATTTTGTTGTGGTCAAGATGTAGCTCTGTAAGATTAATAAGACCACGAAAATTGTCGGTACCTATGCTTGTTAAATTGTTGTGACTCATATTGATTAATCTTAAATTTTGAAGACCCCAAAATGAGTACTGTCCTATGGAGGGAATATTTGAGTTTACGATGTGAAGCTCTCGAAGATTAGCAAAAGGTATAGGTTGCGTAAATATAGGGCCAATAGTAAGAAAATTGGGGCGCTCTGGTGGAGCAGAGATGACAAGCACTTGCGCAGTTCGATCAAGGAATTCTACGGGAACTTCCCGCATATTTCCACGAATACATGAGATTCGTAATTCAGTGCCTTCCTCTGGATCAAAAATTGTGCGACACGAACACTCCGTAGGACAGGTGATATCAGCTCCTTCTCCGCCCATGGCCAACAGTAAGGTTGTATATCCTAGTAACCACAATTGACCTCTTGCAATTCTGAAACAAGAAGATAAATATAATAAGCAAATTTTCATATTAATATACAGTAATTATTGAATACTAATATAATAGTTACTAATAAACCTATATATGCATATAGGTTTATTAGTAACTATTATATTAGGATTTTCTTATTAACAATAAATAATTTTCATTAATTTCATTAAATGTAACTGAGTAAGTCGAAATCGTTCCAAAATGTTATCTCTCTTAACGGGATACATCTACCTATATAATTTTCGTTCATATACATCTTTATTTGTTTCGTTATATTTTAATTATGATGTAAGTTGATTAATTTAATTAAATTCTCCTTATCTAGTATATAAGTTATATACTTAAATACTGAGAGTGAGAGATAAACTTTTGAGCGTGTTCATAATGTATTATAAATTTTCAAACGACATATTCCCAGGAAAATAATATTTTTTGGTACAAAGTAGACTTTTTTACACATTTCCTCACAAAATCTTCTTCTGGTAATGTATCATTCTTATCTATATTTTCATATAGTAGTTGTACGAGAATCTAATAACTGTTATTATTTGTTAAAAATTAAAAAGATTCAAATATGCAAATAGTATTCGACGTTAATTTAAAAACTTAAACATTTAACATTCAAGTATATTATTTAAGACTACCTTGTTAAACAATCTTAAATATAGCAATACTTTATACAATTTCACCAACTATAATTCAACTAAATGAATTAGATAAACTCAGGTGCGCTTAAAATCCATGTGTACCTAATAGTTCCCCGGAGATCAGTCGACTTGGACCGAATAAATCATGGAGAATTAACGTGGCAAAGTGTAAAAAACTTGCCTAAATCCTGTGAACTAGGCGCGAGATTACAGTCTTGTGAAATATGCGCCTCGCTTTGTCCGCGGAATCCAAACCCCCTGAAAAATAACGCGCAGATAACAAAAGGCTTTTTGACGCAACGACTAAGCGGCATCCATTACCCAAAATTCAGAAATACTCATTTGCACCTTAATGAAAAAAGGTTTACGTTTATGTTAGTTTTGTCAACATAATAAAATTTATAGATGAAGTTTATATAAAAATTATAGTTCAAATACAACAAGAAAGTAATCAATGAATTATTACTTGTGAAGCTGAGATTGAGAGCGTTGAGAGTTAACCTTGCATGTAGTCCAAAATTATCTAATAACCATAATCTTTATTTACAATAATTGCTAATAATACTGAATTCGATGAAAGAGTATCATGAAGTTAACAAGTAATAATATGACCCGAAGTGTAGACGATAACGAATTCAGAGAATTCGATATCGTAGCATAACAATTAATCAGAAACTAATCATAAGTATCATTAAGTTAATTACAAGTTACAGTCTAATAGCAGTTACAATAAACGTATGCAATTATACAAATACACGCCAATTACAACTTAATTTAGACATGTAAAAAATACTTATACTACGTACTTTATTATATATATTAGTGTACTATATTATGATCCCAAAGTTTTAAGTTAGATGATTGCAATTGTTTATTCACGTTTTATGACATAAAACTAATTATAAAACTTTATGATTGCTATAATCATCATCATCGTATCAATGGTTAACTGTTTGCTGCTGAACATAGGCTTCCTCCGTAAAAGGAGGATATATTATAACAGCCATGTGTGTTAGAATCTCTGTAAAATAAAACCCTAAGATAGATAGTATAATCGAAACTGAATTTAGGGAAAACAAATGAACTGTTTGTACAAACATATGTCGGACCTGAGTAATTTCTATTTATACTCATTGAAATTACTATTGTAATGAATGTCACTGTTAAGCTAAAGTCGCTAGTTTATAATGATAACTTCTAATATTAAGAGTTTTCTATACAACTTTTATTAACTATACAAAATTGTGAAATTAAAATATTTAAATATCTAACATACGATTACAATATATGAAACGCCTTTTTAAATTATTCTACATACTCATAATACATACTTATACTCATTATCACGAAATGTGTTTATTGAAGCCATGTAAAAGAAAACGTTTCTATTACATCGTAACAGAATTTTGATTCCGGAAAAAACAAAATACTGTAACTGTATCGCATAAACTTCAAATGTTAGGTTTATCCTGCACATAAAAGCGGTAATTGCGTACATATCTACAATATGTGTTGTGCTACAGCGGGGAACAAAATAAAAAGAAAAAACAAGCGCAGCCTGCCTTGGCTGGATCGTTAGGAGTTTGTTTAATAAAGAAACATTTAATGCGACTAAACTAAAGAGATGAGAAAAAATAGTTAAATCCTAAACCTGGTAGAATAAAATTTGTTATTTAGTTAGAGCACATAACCTGTGCTCCAGAGTGCGTGATCTGGATAAATAGTGGTCTGTAAATGTCTTTCTTCGTATCAAATACTATGTGTCTTGCATTATCCATCAATACGCTAAAAGGTAATAAACGAACAATCTATATTTTTATACAAGTATATATAATATTAGTAAGGGATGCATTCTGATGAAGCAACAATTAAACTCAAATTATTATTATTTTAATCAATTTATGATCCCCATATACCATGCCAGGTAACTAATAAAAAGGAATAACAATATTACGGACGTAAGAAATATATCTTGAACAATCCTTTTTAGGTGCTCAAAATATATTAGATAATAAATATGCGTGTTTGTTCACAAACATGCCCAATAATAAACAACTTCAATGTACCTAGTATTTTAATCTATCAAAATAAGTTTCCTATTTAAAGACAATTAAACTAAATAAGTACTTATCTATCCATTGTTACATAGGTATCTATAAATTAGTACCTATCCTATTTGTGAATACTGCATTAAATAGGCATGCTTATAATTATATTGTTCTTTTGTCCTACTATCCTACTAATACCATAAAAGTGAAAGTTTGTTAACATGTTTGTATGTTTATTACACTACTAACTGTAATAGAATGAAATTTGGTACGCAGGTAGACATATCCTTACATAAATACATTGTACAACTGCAAAACACCTAGTAATTTTGAAATATGAAATAGATACAATATATTGTTACAAATTTTGTACACGCTTAATTTTCTTGGAAAAAGTATCAAAGTAAATACACTTCATTTTCTGCATAACATATAAGTGTATTGAAATATGTTCAGTAATATATAGAAGTATTTTAACGCGTAATTGTAATATCTTGTTAAATATATTTAGTGTAGGTAACATATATATTAACATTTTCCGCTTATTTTACGCTTAATTTGAATTACACCACCACGTAATGTAAAGGTGTATTCTTGTAATAGTGAGAACCTCAATTAATTTTATTCGAACTACGCTAACTGACAAAGAACACTCTGGTTACATGTACCTAAATATTATCCTAAACTTTGATTACAAAATTAAAGTGCGTTGTAAAAACTTTAAACATAAAAAAAAAATTACCTAATAAATAAATTCTTTTGTAATGTAGTATCTTGTGATTTTAAACACTGTCAACAATTCTTTTAGGATACCTACAAAAGATCCTTTATGTAAAGCTTACCGTCTGTCTTAAATATGATCTGAATACAATGTCTTAAAGGAATATGTTTCGTGCTTACGTGTGTATTTTTGTATTCATTGATTTGGACCTAATCAAAGGCAAATTGTATTACTTATACGATACGAGTACATGTTTTCTCATTATTTAATAAGTATTATCTTGTTATTATTCATGGTAAATATTGATGCCAGTCAATACATATTCTCATAAACTAATTACATCTTTCTGCTTTTATACTTCATTGTTCGAACTGTATCCTACATCTATCACAGAAAGTCATAACCGCCAACAACTGCTTCAAAAATTTGTTATGCTTTACATTGCACTCTATAAAACTACTTCCTTGTCTTATTCTTTTACGCCAAAAACTTCACGACTCTTAAATTCACTACCCGAAGACATCCATCCGTGTTCTCTCTAATAAATGTGCCTTCAAGAAAAAAGGTCATGGTCATTTTTTAAACCTTTTATCAAACAACCAATAGATCATTATCCTATACATATATATTATTCTTATTGTTATATAAGTATGTCTTATTCTTTTAGAGTTTCTGTCTGTAACAACAGTGTTGTCTTTAATAGTGTCTGTTGCTGTCTTGCGTATCAAAGATTAACTGGTAGAATGTCAATTATTATTATTTTATTGTTATATCAATAGTTAACTGTCTACTGCTGAACATAAACCTCACCCTTGGGAATCTTTGCCAATAGGTGCCACTCCTGGCAGGCGGATTAGCAACCGCAGATATTAGGTACAAGGTAATATATATATATATATATATATATATATATATATATATATATATATATATATATATATATATATATATATATATATATATATATATATATATATATATATATATATATATATATATATATATATACTATATTATAAAGGTACACAGTGATAAAACTTCAAGCCAACGTGCACAAGATTCTGCCCTCTGCAAAGCTTCAGAATCTATTTACATGGGTCACGTTCCTTAATCATGAAAATTCTATAAAAAAATTTATAAACTACGCGCAATCATATGTTAAGACTTTGAATAATTAGATAAATGAAAATAAATATAATCGTTAATTTTCAGTATTATAAATATTGATTATAAAACATTTTGCAGGAAAAAACCTCTAAAAACATATTTCGTGACTAATTTACGTTACTATACTATATTACTGCTACTCTAACATTATTTCCTACCATAAATAAAAATATTCCTACAGTAAAAAGCGGTAGGCAATAACATAAATCCAATGTATAAATGGTTTATAAAATTTGATTTGTAATTGTACCTGTAATTACCGATGTATCCTATTAAAAATGAAATATCGCTACATGATGATTGGAATTTTAATTCATAATCTATTTGTAAAATTACTTAATAACGACTTTTTCATAATTGAAAAAATATGCTCGATTTGTACATTAATTTCAGAAAAAATAGTCAATAGCGTTCTAC